GCCTTAATAATTGGAATAGGGTTTGCGGGTATAGTATACTATAATTATTGTCTAATGATAAGGAACCTCCCCCCAAAAAATAGTATAGGTACTTATTTAGGCCCCGATATTGCTTGCTCCGTCCGGATCTGGCGATGAAACCTCGGAGTCATGACTTCGTTAGACAACACCCTGGCCTTCCTTGGGGAGGGTGGCGAGCTGACCGCAGATGGCGCTAAGTGCGACGTCGTTCCTGAGGGTCTAGGGGTTTAGGGTTCCTGAGGGTTTAGAGTTTGGGGTTTAGGGTTTGGCTTGAAGTGAGGACTGGGACCTTCCGTCAAAGCCACAGATCACCTCGGGACTGGTTTAGTCTTCCTCTCAAACCCTACTTAAACCCTAAAGCCTCACGTCGCATGGTTGCGAGACGCGACGGGTAAAGTCGGGGAAGGAACCTATGTTAGCATGCTTTGTCATCTCACGGTTGTCTACAACGGCTAGATAAGCAAAATTAAGGTTTCTAATATATGAAAGTCTCTGTAGGGCTTATAGGCTTATATGATGACTGAAATAAACAGCGGTTGCAGTATGAAGGATTCTGCAAGGCTTATATGGCTTGGCGGTCAGGGTTTAACATTAGGCGGCTTGCGAGGCTGCTTTTACAGGCTTGTAAGGCTCGTTGGCAAGCTCGTCGTCATCGTCAGGTTTGGACATAATGAAACCGCCGTTTCGTGTTTGTAGGGCTCCGGTCTCCGGACTTGGAAGTTTTTGCGACTTTCGGATGCGCTTGTCTGGTTTTAGGGTTTAGGGGCTCCGTGGGCGAATTGATCAGGAACAAGACTTACACCCCGAAGGTGGTCGAAGCCAAAGAATCTCTGCTGAGACGCACATCAAATAATCCACTTGGAGGCTCATGAGTACTCATAACAGTGGGGTTAGGAGCAGGGTAACTACAGTTGTAACCTATATTAGGAGACTTCTACCCCCTGATACAACTACCTATGAACCTTCAAGCAGACCTCAACCCAAGATACTCGACTCGAACTCTCGAAGCCGGGCTGCAGCGTCTCGAAAGTGGCCTGGCCAGCAAACCAGCGTCGGAATTTAGTAGAACAGTCTAAACCTTTAAGGGTTTAGAGTTTAGGCCTAAGCTCGAATTTTCCAGAGCAGCCACGAATCAACGAATGCCGAACAAACAGATGTGCACTGTGGCCCCGGCATGTCTGGATCAATGTAGTGATCTACTAACAGTGCGCTTACTTCTAGGACCCCTGAACCAGGCATCCCTATAAAGCTAAGTGCTCTGGTTCTTTGGCCCGCTCCGCGAATCAAGTCATAGATAGGCAGTGGAGACGTTGGTGGACATCTGGATGCGGGGTTTCGTATGTCCAGAAGAGCATGAGTCATGAGTCTTGGTTGCCGTCACATTACTTTGACCACCCTATAAGGCCCTAGTTAGCATAAACTCCAAGTACCCCGTAGTGAACCTTTGTCACACCCTAAGGCCAATCGTATAAACCCCAAGAAGCGAAAGCCTTGCCACGCCCCCAACAGAAAGTTAAAGCAAAGTCTAAACCCAGTGAGGCTAAGAGAGGGGCCTTGATAATCGCAATAGGGTTTTGGAGCCCATTATACAGTAGTTATAATGAGAAACCCCCAAACCCCTATTCTAATTACTAAGGCCCCTACATTAGCGACCTCACGTTCGCTGTCTTCGGCCCTGTTGCGATGTGCTCTGGACTGATGCAGGCCAGTCAACCCAAACTGGATGCTTGCCGCCCGAATGCGACGAGGAATGCTGTCAACGCCACAAACGCCTTTAAACTTTCAGCCTCATTCGAAACGACGAAGAACAACCACAGCTTTCAAGACCCTGATTTTGCCGCCTTCTTTGTGCAGGCGGAACCGCCAATCTTGACCACGACGTCCGCCTTGGCACTTGAAGTGCGAGGAAGAAGTGGCTGCCGAAGCGAATAAAGTAAAGAGGATGGGGTTCTGGGCTTTGACATCGTATAGTCTCTTAAGGAGACCTGACAGATAGTGGTGGTAATTACTCATGCTTCCATCAAAAGTTAAGCAGAAAAATCTATTCCTCGTGAGTAAGAATCCAAGCCTCTCAGGGCTCTCATGTCTCCCCATACACTACAGAGAGAAATCCTTCTAGAAACCTATCACAGAGTTCGGGTTTTAGGGGTTTAGAGTCTAGGGATCTAGGGGCCGGAATTCTCCTTCCATGTTATTTTGGGAAGGTGCAGGCACCTGAACTGCCGTAAGCGCTGGTGCCACACTTGAAGAAAACTTCCCCTTCCCCCGAATAAACGTGGACCCCCGACTGGCTCCTTTACGGTGCATTTTTGATGTCTCCATTTCAAGTTCAATGCTGGTGTGGGGGATCGTAAAAACCAAGGCCCACATGCTTTCACGGCCAGCCTTCGACCTAAACACCCAAACTCAATTAGGGTTTAGGGTTTAGGGTTTAGGGGTTTAGGGTTTAGGGTTTAGGGACTCAAGGCTGCTGGCGGCTCTTTGCAACTCTGAAATCATGTCCAACAACCCCCCGCCAGAGAACTCCCAAATGAGAAAGCGAGCCGAACACCCCACACTACTGGCCAAGTGACATCCAACGCCAAACGACTTGTATTGCTACTGTTGCTTATGTTTCTGTTATTCTTTTTGCTAGCCGTACTACCAGCATTTCATCATTATTGTTGTTGCTTTTAAGCAAGTACTCCCACGCCCCAAAGAACCGCACACGACCAGCTGAGAGCTTCACCCAAGCCTTTCCATCTGGCCTAGTGCAGCCAGTCGTGGGCCTGATCCGGAACAAGAGGCGGTTCCAGGGCTGGGGATGACTTCACAGCTTTTAGGGTTTAGGGGTTTAGGGGCTTAAGGACTTATACATTAGTAAATCATTGGTGTATGACATAGCGCAGTATAGCATAGTCGTAGCATATCTCTTCATCCTACTGCTCCCCGAAGCTGAATGTGACTACTCTAAATCTTGGAGCGTGTTTCCATCGAAAGCAACTCCTACTTCCTGTCTGCGCAGGATACCTGCCACCTCCTTCGAACCTTCAGCAAGAGTAGGAAGAAGACCACCCAATTAAGAGAAGCCGGTCTCAGCCATCAAATGAATACACCACTGTCAAGGGTCCCTCCTTGTTGCCTGACCCCCTTCTAGTCTATCGATCCTCCTTTTCCAAGGTCATCATAGGTCTGAACAGCCCGAAACACGGACTCCGCACCTCAATGGGCCCACGTCCTTGCAGGGTAGGCAGCTGAGAAGGCCACCTGGGCTTTTCAGCCTTGCTTAGGGCTGTATAAATGGACAAACCCATGGGTTGTCTGAAGTTTGGAGCTCGCGGAGCTCATGTCAGGGAGATCCGTGTACTTAACCAACTTGACCGAGCTATGGCCAAAGATGCCAAAGTGGGAGATGCCACGTCGAATTAGGGTCTGAGGCATCGGTCAAACGGCGTTGGCCAAGGTCAGGACTAGCTTCATATGCAACATCCCTCCCTCGCAGCATCGGACTTTCAGCGAGACACTCCGATTGAGGGTTTAGCGCTGAGGGTTTAGGGTTACCCTGAACGCTAAGCCTCCTGACCACCCAGCCCATTGGCTGCAAACTAACGGCTGCAAAGCCTTCCGACGTTTCGGAGGGGTTCTCGGAAGGACGAAAAGAAATCCTCAACCTTCGATTTTCCAAAACTCAATGTAAGACTCAGAACCAGCGCGGGGTGCCCAAGCTCATGCAAAGGTCACAATACAACACGCCTACGGAACCCCTTGTTGAAATATCCTGCGAACTAGCCCTCCATGGATCCTAAAGCTGGGTTCGGGGCCCATAAACGTTCCTCGCGGCAGCGCGCGCAGGAGAGATTAGAGGACTTGGAGTTTATAGTGTTTCGGGCTTGGGTGCAGGCACAACCAGCAGAGCTTCCCTTATCGGTTTAGGGTTCAGGGTGTGTGGTTTGCACGCACTTCGAGCTCATGAAGCCATTTAGGACAAAATAGGCTCTCTATAGACCACAAGTGAGAACGCCGAACTTCACTGACACCAAGCCGGTGAAGCCAAGAAAGCTCGTCTAAGCCGGAAGCCCTAAACCCTAAACCCTAAACCCTAAACCCTAAATCCTAAACCCTAAACCCTAGTCATCCCGCTCCTTCGCCACGAAGGCTGCGCTGCGCCGTGCCGCGCAGCCCCGGGCTCTCGTAACCAAAGCGGCTTCGGATTTTTAGGGTTTAGGGTTTAGGGTTTAGGGTTTAGGCCCAAACTACCCAGAGACTCCAAAACCCCTTAATTGAGGAATAGACCTTAAATTCTAATAGGGATCCCTAATAGGATTTAAGGTCTATTCCTTAATTAAGGGGTTTTGGAGTCTCTGGGTAGAAGCCTGTCGGGTTGAGAGCTTTGAGTGTCTCAAGCACAAGGCGGCTCTCCACTCTGTGCCCCCGTGAGCCGAAGATGTTTTTAGGGTTTAGGGTTACGGGTTTAGGGTTTTTAGGGTTAAGGGGTTTAGGGGGAAGATGTCTCTGAGACATAAGCGCCTGGCTTCAGAAGCCAAGCCGACGCTACGACGTACAAACCCGAGTTTGAGTGCTGTTTCAATGTGGAAGCGGCAAGCTCAAAGCTCCAAACCATCAAACTCAGAGCTCCAAAATGTCGACGCAAGATCAAAGCTCCAAACCTTCATGGGGAAAACCCTCGACGCTTTTCCCTGCCTTCGAGGCTGAGAGAGGCAAAGATCGGTGCCCTTGGGGCCGTTTGGCCAAAGGCACCGGACGAAACAGTGAGAAGGTGAGACAGCTGCAGGGCCCTCCGCCCTGAGCTCGAAACAGACGCCTTAAACATCCAAATTCAGAAATCGAAAAGCCATATGAAACGGTACTATCGTCTGTGGTACTATATCATGAAAACATGGTACTGTAGTACGAAGAAGCCACCTACGAGAAGAGCTCGGAAGCCCTGTGGCTCTAAACCTTATAAGCCCTAGTAGTCATCTGCCCAGCGTGTGATGACATACGCAGGCCGGTTCCTAGGCGCGCAGGGCTGTTTGCGAGGTGTCATAGTTGTGTTGCTGTCTTGATAGGTTTTTGCGCGTAGATCCTTCACAAGGTTGGGATGCGGGCAGAACGTTGTTGGATTGGGAGCTAGGATGAGGGCGAGAAGGGGTCCCCTGAAAGGGGTCGCCCAAACATTACCTTGGCTGGATTTCCCCAAGCCCTAAACCCTGAACCCTAAACCGTGTCGACCAAGCTGATGCAGCGCCTTTGGGTTTTTGCAGAGTTCGTCCGTTCAGGAGCCGTTCTTATCAAGGCATCTTTTTGGCCACCCACGTTGCTTCAGACTTACTTGGGGGTTCATGGGTACATAGCTATAAGAGCTTGGGGCAAATCTGCCAAAGAAGGAGTGGTGTAGCGCCCGGCGCCCCGCCGGCTGCAGGTGGCGCACATTTCACCCTAGTGATGCTACGCTAAACTGGGTTCTTGTTAAGGGATTTAATTTAAGTTACCATAATAGGGAAACCATATTATTTACTATAGATCCCTATTATGGTAACTTAAATTAAATCCCTTAACAAGAACCCAGTAAAGTGACGACGGCACCTGGCCTCAGCTTACCCAGAGGGTCCATATACACTACCATTATGGAATTAGGTCCCAAAAGACCATCCCTAATATGGTTTTGGGGACCTAATTCCATAATGGTAGTATATATGGACCCTCTTGGTTAGGAAGCTGAATCCCAGAAGCCCAAAGCACATGCCAGGATGGGACAGCCTTCGACCGGAACTCCGACAACCCGAAACGCTATAAGCCCTGATGTAGGGGCCTTGATAATTAGAATAGGGTTTGGGCGTAGGTTATGCTATATATATATATGTGTATTTATTTATTTACTTATAGAGAACTCCCGAGATAGTATTGGTAACTATTTAGGCCCCTACATTTATAACCTACCCTCAAAGCCCTGTAATTGTCTCAAGGGTGCCCTGCAAAGGATGTCGGAGCTGCCAGAGTGGCGCTGGGGGCGCGGTGCCTGGGTTTAGGCTTAACGGCTTAGGGTTTAGGGTTTAGGGTTTAGAACTTGCTTGCGTTAAGGTTCAGCAGGCACAGTAACAGTGAATTGTATCTTGTCCAGGCGCTGTGAGCTTAAACAAGTAGCTTCTGCACTAGATCCTGACCCCTAAGGCCCTAAACCCTAAACCCGAAACCCTAATTTCCGGTAAAAAGGAGGTGGAAATACGTTCCTCAACAGGAACTCGGGTGCTGTCGATCCAGGGCCATCTCGCGGCAAACCTGCCAAGAGGGTCCCAGAAGTCCCCAACTTGGAGGTTCATGATTAGTTATAAGTGGGGTTATAAGTCCCCTAGTATAGTTACCCTACTTATGACACCACTTATAACTACCCATGAACCTCCAAGAACCTAAGACTCCGTAAGGTTTGAGGTTTAGGGTTTGGGGGGTTTTGATTTAAGGGCTTATGGGTTTAGGGTTAGGCTGTTATAGGATTTGGGGCAGAGGGTTCAGGAGATAGGACTTATAGGGTCGCGGAGCAATTTTGGGCTCACGGTTTCGGTTCAGTGCCGGTCCTTTAGGGTGTTACCGGCTCTGGCACTAGTAAAACTTCGGCGATGAGCCCTGGTTTAGGGTTTAGGGTTTCAGCGGCTTAGGGTTTGGGGTCTGAGCCTAAACTCTAAACCCCTAAGCCCTACGCCCTAAACCCTAAATCCTAAACCCAAAATCCTCAACCAAAAACCCTAACACCCTAAGCCCTAAACCTATAACCCTCAACTTCGGCCCTAACCCCTAGAGTCTAGGAGCGACGCAGAGAGTAACGCATTTACTCCACGTGCAAGGATACAAGGATGGATGAATCCCCACTTGCACACGTGCTAACACGGACTTGCGCGCACAGTGTGGATGACATGTCGTGAGATGCCAGACTCTCCAAGCTAGTGGCCCGTAGGATAATCCCACAACAGTGTCGACCCTCACAGCAGATGCCAACAACATCCACATGGCGATGAAAAGCAACCCTTATGGCAACCTGAAACCGAAGCCCTTATAGTAACCCTCAACCGTTGCCCTTATAGTAAATGCAGTCCCTGGCTGCACCTCCATGGCGGTTGCATTGCTGTCTGCGAAGGTGCTGCCAAAGACGTTAGACGGATGCTTCCCGGGAATGTAGCCTCTGTAGCCTTCAGGCCAGAGATCAAGCATGCACTTCGGGCTCGAGAAGCACCCTAAAGCCTAAACTCTGAGCCCTAAACCCCTAAATCCTTACAGCCCCAAACCCTAAACCCTAAACCCCAAACCCTAAACCCCAAAGCCCCTGAAGCCTTCAAGCCCCAAACCCTTAAACAGCAGCAAGACTTGCTCTGAGGCCCGCTGCCAGACGAGCTTACTTTCCTTTCCGACTTCGGAGCTTCATTGGATGCTTGCGTCTTGACAGCTACCAGGTCACTACTTCAGACCGTATGCCCCGAAATCCTGACCCCTAAAACCCTAAACCCCGAACCCCTTAAAGCCCTAAACACTTACCCCTAACCCCTAACCCCTAAACCCCTAAATCCCTAAACCCCTAAAGCCCTAAGCCCTAGCCCCGAGACCCTACTCGGCGGCTTTGTTTCTGGACGACCAAGGTGCCCGGGACGCTCGCCCCGCGGCGCTTCAGCAGAAGGCCATAGGGGTTTGTACGGCGGGCGAAATCATTGTACTCCTGCACAGTTCGGTTTAGGGCTTAGGGTTTAGGGTTTAGGGGCTTCTTAGGGTTTAGGGTTAATGGCTCACTGTTTAGGGATTGTACTCCTGCACAGTTCGGTTTAGGGCTTGGGGGTTATAGGGGCTAATTAGGGCTTAGGGTTTGTGGGGTCAGGGTTTAGGGTTGGTCAAGGTTTAGGGTCTAGGGGTTTAGGGCTTAGGGTTTAGGGACACTAAACCCCAAACCCAATATACGGGAGCTTCAGAAAAGCGGGCACTTGAGTATTTCAGCCGAAATAATCTGCAAATAGATACCTTGTCTCACTTCTTACCAACCCTGCTTGTACCCTCACATGAAGCTTCGAGTGGAAGTTAGAACTCACTGTTGGGGTGGGTTTACTATATATATATATATATGTATATATATATATATATGTATATATGTATATCAAACATAAAACACCTAACACATGACCTATAACACATACTCTTTAAACTACAATATTCAAATAATATGTAATACACTGCATTGCGGAACATCAGAACTCTGTTGGTTCAGAGTTTTCTGGCTTTCGGGCTCCCGGCCGCGGCTACATTGGCTTTGTGGGATCTTAGGCTGACGCAGTTGGCTTGAGACTTCGCAGTCGTTGGGTTCTGAGTTTCGGGTCCTTGAGTTGCGATGTTTTGGGGGGTCCTTTGTTGGGATGATATGGGGATGATAGTGCCCGCCGAACAAAAAAGTTAGGGTTTTGAGAGTGTGGGTTTCCTTTCGGGGTCTTCGGGCTTCGAGTTTAGCTTGCTTGTCCAGTATCCCAGGGAACAGAAGGTTCGGCTTCGGCATTATACAAGGGCCATACAAAAGGTACCCAGAAAAGGGTTAAGGGTTTAGGGGTTTAGGGGTTAAGGTTTAGGGTTATAGGGTTTATAGGGCTTATACCAACTTTACTACAAAGTTAAAGTCTTGGCGTTTCGCGTTTCGCGCCGTTGGGATTCGGGATTTCGCTTCGCTGGGGGTCAGGACAGGTTGGCCAAGAGCTGTGGAGGGTTCAGGGTAGGGACCCCTCAACCCTAAACCCTAAATCCCTAAACCCTAAATCCCTAAACTCTAAATCCCTAATTCCTAACCCCCTACATCCCTATGCCCTAAACCCGGGGCCCCTTCCGGGAGCAGCAGTTTCAAGAGCCAAAAGTATGAAGTGCGTCTGCGGAAACAGAGGAAGCCGGGAGGGGCTTGATGCTGCGAGGTGGCTAGTGGTTTAGTTTTTAGGTTTTAGGGGTTCAGGGGTTTAGGGTTTTAGGGTTACGACGGCACCAAGATGCAGGTAGTGATAGATCGTCATAAAACCGTAGCCACTAGCTTCATTACATGTAGCGTCTGTACAAAACTTAAACAAGAGACAGGAGTAAGACTGTTATTGTTACTATATGTTACTGTTGTTACTAGCGCTGCAGTTTCTTCCTTTTCTTATATGCGACTATTGTTAGTTATTGGTTAGAACAACAAAAACCCCCTCCTCTGGCTCGCCACGACGGCTGCAGGCGACAAGCGCTAGCCTTGACAAGTTTTCAGGGTCCTGCTTCCCAAAGACTCCAAAACCCTTTAATTAAGCAATATACCTTAAATCATATTAGGGATTAGGGATCCTAGTATAATTTAAGTCTCTGGGTTGCCGCATCGTCTTGGGGGTCTTCGAACAGCAGTGACTTCTCCCCTAAACCCTGCCCTAAGGCTCTAATTGCTGTTATGGCCTTTCTAGGGGAAGGTTTGGGCTTTGGGGGCTAAGGTTTGGGCTTTCACTATGGGGGTCCATGACTCTTAGGGTGAACCCTAAACCCTGAACCCTAAACTCTAAACTCATCTGTTTGATGCCAACCGTCGACCCAAACCGGTTGGAAATGCCTCGCCTCCACAAAATCCACCCGGAAGCCACCTAATTAATGTAGGGGCCTAAAATATAATTACCGATACTATTTTAGGGTCTCCTTCTTATAAGTATAGTATAACGGGCCCCAAAGCCCAATTCTAATTGTTAAGGCCCAAAATTTACGCGCTAGACCTTCCAGAAGCTCAGCCTCCGAAAGTAATCGAAGACTTCGGCTCCGAACCCGAAGGCCTAGTGTAGGGGCTTTAAAAGTTAGAATAGGGTTTTTTGGGGTACATTATACTATAGTTATACTAAGGAGTCATTATACTGTAGTCATACTAAGGAGTCACCAGAAAGGTATAGGTAATTATTGAGGCCCCTATAGTACAGAATCGCAGGCTATGACATCGCTTTTTTTGTTAGGGTGTAACCCATGTGTAACCCATGACACTGCGACACAGAATTAGCTGTGGCGACAAACAAGGGAACTCAACGGCGTAGTTGGTAACTATTCAGAGGCCCTTGCATGCACAGAACCCGAAACCCTAATCCCTAAACACTAAGCCGTAAACCCGAAACCATAAACCCTAAACCCTGATCCCTAAACCCGAAGCCCTAAGCCCAATAAGCTTCGAAATCCCAGCGACGCATTCGAGCGCGTGTGCGTGGCACCCAGGATGCTCTCAGAGGCCTCGAAACACTCGCTCTCTGCACCAGGGAAAAGGGTTGAGGGAATTTTAGGGCTTAGGGTTTAACGGTTAAGGTTCAGGGCTTAGGGGTTTAAGTTAGGGATTTAGGGTTTAGGGGTTTAGGGTTTTGGGTTTAGGGGCTTAGGGTTCAGGGGCTTCGGGTCTTAGGGTTTAGGGGTTGGCGGGGTTTAGGGTTTAGGCAATGCCCTCGTTTAATATATGCACGTTGACAATTTGACATGCTGCTTTGGGGTATATTCTAGTCCTGCGAAATTCCCGGGAATGAAGCCGTAAACCCTAAGACCCGAAACCCAAAACCCCTAAATCCATAAACCCCACGCCCTAAAATGTGGAGGGAAGGCCCAGTCCCCCCCTGCCTTCCGGGAAATGAAGTCCTACAAGCCCCAAAACCCTAAGCCCCCTAAACCCTAAAGCCCTCAACCCACCCTAAACCCCTAAACCCTAAACCCTAAACCCTAAACCTTAAGCCCTAAACCTTAAATCCTACACCTAAGTCCTAAACCCAAAGCCATAAAGCGTAAAGCCCCTGAACCCTGAAGCCCCTAAGACACTAGGGGTGCCTTGCCGGGAATGAAGCCGGTGTAGCCCGGAACATTCACCTCGAAAGGAGCTCGGGGGACTTTGGGAGCCGGGGCACGGTTTAGGGTTTAGGGTTTAGGGTTTAGGGTTAGCTCTGGTCTTTGGGTTTTGGGGTTTAAGGTTTAGTGTACAGGGTTTAAGGATTTAAGGGTTTAGGGCCGTTTAGGGCTTTGGTTTTGGTGCACAGGGGTTTTGGGGATTTGAGGGCTTTAGGGTTTAGGTTTTTGGATTTTAGGGCTTTGGGTTTTGGGGTTTTGGGTAAGGGGTAGGTTCACGCACCCCCAACTCGCATTTTGGGAGCTTACGAGTCTGGACCTAAGCCCTGAACCCCTAAACCCCTAAACCCCTAAACCCTTAAACCCTAAACCCTAAACCCTAAACCCTAAACCCTAAACCCTAAACCCTAAACCCTAAACCACAAGCCCTAAACACTAAACTCCTAAACCCTAAGCCCTGAGCCCAAAACCCCTAAACCCTAAACGGAATCAAGCTCTCATGCAGCTGAGCAACGGCAGGAAGGTGGCCCAGTGGCACGTTACCTGAGCTGAGTCGGCTACGGGTTGGAAGATGCCAAAAGGAAGGTCGGTTTGAGGGTCCAGAGGGGCCTTAGGCTTCTACGAGTGTTTCGCAAGCCCTGAACCCTTAACCTTCTTCAGACACCCACAAAAACTCAAAACCCTAACCTCAAACCCAGCGTACCCGGAATATGTCACGCATGTTCAGGGCACTGTCACGCTTATTCATATTCACTGCACTTTCACGCATGCTCAGCGCACTTTCACCAAATGGCCACTGCTCTCATTACATTTTGGCCTGTTTGCGTTCAGTGTATCTGTTGTCTTGGCACTTTTCCAATCGTTTTCGTATAATCTTGGCACTGGCCAGCGTTGCCTTTGATTTGAGTACACTTTGACGATCTAGGTGGTACCTAGACCCTTTGGGATTAACGTAGGGGCCTCGATAAGTAGAATAGGGTTTTGGGGCATAGTATACCCTGATCCCCCTAGCAGCCTCGCAGCAGAGGCGATTTGGCCTTGTGACAGTCTCCGTTAACTACCCCTGCAAGTCGGGTTTAGGGTTTAGGAATTTAGTCGAACTTTTTCGGCGGCTTTTGGAAAACAAACGTTAATTTTCATTTTCTTCGAAATCCGTGGCCCTCCTGGCAGGGTCTAGGGCTTTCACATTAGGGTTTAGGAGCATGGGCTTAGGAGATCCCAGATTCTATTTAACATGTGGTGTACGACGATTCTGCCATCACGCGGATCCTGTGGAAGCGGCTTAGGCTGCGATGGCAGCAGCATGATACGAAAGATATGCGAAGAGGGAAGCCAGGTCTGGGCCCCCGAGCCTCTGCTTTAAAGCCCCTGACAAGCATTCAACACATCTACTCTTTTTACAGCCAAGAGCAGGCTTGTACCTGGTTTTCCCCTCCCGAGATATTCTGGACATGGCAGATGAATGTCTATCATCAACTCCAAGCTGCAAGCCCCGCCCTCAGCTTCATAAAGGCCTGTATTAAGCCCTGCAGAAAAAAAAAGTCATAGGCAGGGCGCAGGCAGACCGGACCATGTCTGCTCGTTTTGGCGCCGGGCGCATCTTGGAGAATGTTCGTTGGCTTGGCAGATCAAGGATTACAGGTGGCTTCGGGCTCACAAGAATTTGAAGGGCAGCATCAGTGGCTGCAGATGCCTTCAGGACTGCAGGGCTGACAAGGACTCAACTACACCCCACCTAGCTTCGAATACAGTTTTAAGAGTCGAGTCATTGAAGAACATGAATAACAAGGCTTACAGTGGATTGCTGCACAACAGACTAGATCTACAATCAAGGTGGATTTAACACAAATTCGACGTAGGCTCTACCACCTTGCCTTGGCATCTGCACAAAAGAAGCCTAGAGATGGGTTTAGGACCAAAGTTTAGGATCTAAGTTTAGGGCTTGGGGTTTAGCTTTTGCATGGTGAATGCAGCCTCAGAGCGTCTAATCCTTCTCGGCTCTAGGAACAGCAAGACCCAGAGACTCCAAAACCCCTTAATTAAGGAATATGCCTTAACTTATCATAGGATCCCTAGTATGATTTAAGGTATATTCCTTAATTAAGGGGTTTTGGAGTCTCTGGCGACTCCTACATCACAAGCTTTATGCGGAACCCCCCCAAAAGCTCGAGCTCAGCAGCAGCTTGGTGACGGGCATTATCGAGCGCAAGGGACGGAACGCTCCCGGCACGCAGCACCTCGCGTCCTGGTATCGGCTGCATCTGGTCCGAAGCCCCTTATCTCGATGCCCTCCAAGTCTGCAATTTGCGTTTTGGACACTGGACAGGACCTCCCATGACTCTCCAGGGTCTAATTACGGACTTTCTGCGTAGGCTAGGAGGCTGAGGGATTTGGGCAGCTTTTGCTTGCTGCGATCCTCGTCAGCCCCATAAAAGTGGACCCTAGTATAGTATATAGAATCCTAAAGTATCCTTTAAAGGAGACCCCACTATGAAACCCTATACAGTACCCTTGAAAGGAGACCCTACTACCACCCAAGGCCTCCCTAAACCCTAAACGCTGAGGCTTCGGGCCTGGCAGCTTTCGGATGAGGGTTTAGGCTTTGGGGATTTTGGGGGATTTCGGGCCTTGAATCTTCAGGTTTGGGGTTGAAGATAGGGGCCTCAACAATTAGAATAGGTTTTGGGGTATATCAAGCTAGAACATCATAGGGAACCCGCAAAATAGTGTTGATACTTATCTATAGGCCCCTATATTAGGGCTTTCTGGCTCCGGGCTTTGAGAGCCTGAGCCCTAAACCCCTAAACCC